AAAAACTAAAAATGCAGATCGCTAGTACTTTTCACGCTAATTTTAAAATTGTGCGTATCCGATTTAAAGGCAAATAAGGATTCAAGTCAAAATAAGGACAATTAATTTATCTTCAAGCTGATATGTAAGATGTATGTGTTTTTTATATATTTAAGCTAAAAATATTATAAAACAAAAAAAATCATAATTTTTTTCATAAAATAACCTTTTTTTAGAAAAAATCCATAATCTATGCTAAAAAATGTATATTGGGTTGGCATTCCTTTATGGCCGTTCGTTAAAGGGGCGGTGGGCGAAAGGTAAGTGGGTGTGGCACCTCTAACCCACCTTTTTGGAGAGGGAATGAACCGCCATTGACAAAAATGCAGCCCCCGACCACCTAGGTCCCCTATGGTTCCTTAGGGACCTCTTAGAAAAAATGCCAAAAATCACAATTTTCATTTGCGTTTATTCGCTTGAAAAATGTTAAATATTCATTTGCACAATAAATTTTTATATACACTTTTTTATATACAAGACATTTTTATAAAACACCAAGTAACCAGAATAGACAACACTGGGGCGGCAGCCCCAGGTTTACCCCCCTTCGCCCGCCATAATGGAAAGTTTCCCCTTTATATTATTTGTAAAGTGCAAGTTTTTACTTTTAATTTGATATACATATTATATATCAAATTAAAGAGAATTAAATTCTCATTCCAATTTTCCAAATCCTTGAAGAGGTTTTCGAGAAATATCAATTTAAAAAATGCTTAATTGAACTTTGACCTTTAATAATTGTTGTAGTTCTTGTTTCCCAAAAAAAAAAATATATATCGTTATGTTCACCTCAATGGTATGTTGGTCACCTAGCTGAACGGTTGGTTATAATGACGTGTTTTGTATTTCACAACTTAAAAACTTCCAGAAAACACTTACTATTCTTTTTTCCCATATTTTATTCCTAGCTTCTAGCTCGCTTTAGATGTGATCTTGATTTGTGCAAACCTCTTTGTTCAAGATATATAGTTTTTTAGATTTCGTACCTTATTTAACAAATTTAATATTTTACGCTTTCTGTACGTGCTCTTTTTTACGTCCGAAGATTTTTACAAAAATATGTAGATAGGTATAAAACGATACTAGTAGATACAAGTACATACTCGATACTTTTCGTCCGATACCAAGTAATTTTGGTATCGATACTTTTGAACCGAGTACTGAGTAGGTATCGGAAGAAAGTACTTATATCGAAACCCGATTCAGTGAAAATTTTATATCCGGACTTTTTTTAATCTAATTATTATTGTGAATATCTAAAATTTTTTGGCAGTTGTCAATGAAAAATTACTACAAAGAAAGACCTCTCATTAACATATCGCTAACTTGGAGTGAAAAGTTGCTAAGTCCACGTTTTGTGAAAACTCATATTTCTATATAGGAAGCAAGGTAAATTAAAAACGCAACGTCTTCAAGTTTATATTCAATTAAAGGCAAATTTACTAAGTCCAAAAGAGGCACAGAAAAAACGATAAGCTCACAAAAAATTCTAAATCTTTTAATTTGCAACGGAGCCTTCTGCAAAATTCTTGAAGGAAATGTTTTAAAAAGTTTTTTTTCCTCCCCTTTAAATTTTCTACAAATGGAGTTAGCAGCTTTTCACTCTAAAAATGATCAACATGATTACTTCTTTCAGAAATATACCATTGTTACTTTGCAGAACTGCTGTTGAACAGTCTTATAATACAGATGACTTTTATTAATTAATTCATTTGTATGAAATAAATTATAAAATAATTGTTTTTGATCTCAATCGCTTTCTCTTTGTACAAAATAAATAATATGTATAACAAATAAAATACGTACATACATACAAACGAAGACAATTCTGTTAACAAAATTCTGGGGACTTTTTAAAAACAATGTACAACCATTCTTATATAGGTACAAATATCGATATAAGTAGGTATCGATACTTTTAGCCCGATACTTACTAGGCATCGATACTTTCTTTCGACCACTACTTCCAAGTACAGGTATCGATACTTCCATGGTATCGTTTTATCCCTATAGCTGAAGTAGTCAAGAACGTAAACCTACCGGTACGTAAACCCGAGTCAGCTGACACGATCTGTCTTACCAAAGCGCCATGTAAATGAAAACTCAACACCGCAGAATTTTTCTGTAGTTGTAGCCCGTAGCGCAGAAATCTGCGGAATTTAGATGTTTCCGTGTCAGCTGATTTCTTCTTCTTTAGAAGGTTGCCACTTCGTCAGTTTTACAGTTGGTAAAAAAGTTATAAGTTCCTATTCAAAATATGTTTAAAATATTTGAAATTTACTATTGAATAAGGTTTTTGTTGAAAACTAAGTAGTTTATATTTAGCTAAAATCTATTATAGCACGAAAATTGTAGTTGAAAGGGTAAGTTTATGAAAAGGCATTGATGAGTGGCAACAGTGTAGTAAGCAACACTGAGGGCTCCAGTAATCGACAAAATTCTGGGTATACAGACTGCGTTTAAGTATACGTTCTGCGTTCCCGACTAATTTCAGCTTATATGTAGAGCTGTAGCAAACCGTATGTATTCGTTTCTGAGTAACGAATACAACACCTGACTCGGAGTACCGAGTCGTTACTCACATAATAATCTCGTTACTCGCATGTTCCGTGTAGCACCATCAACGTAAATCACTACAACGCAACATATTGTTACGATTATCCTCGAAGCCTTGAGGGATTTCCCATATATACTCGGGTTCGTATCGCTGGATTGTTAAATAAATGCTCACGTCGACCAAATTGTAGTACAATTAACTTTATTGTACAACAAACAATTTACAATACTCGCTAATACAGTAAAAACACTCTACAATACTTGTTAAAGCAATAACAACGCTTAACTAAACTTGTTAACACAATTAAACTTATAGCTTGCTTATTCGCAACTCACTTCTCTGCTCACTTTACTTGTAGCTTGCTGTCTTGTAACTTAAAGGCCCGTCCACATAGAACTTTGGCGTTGCGTTGGCGTTGGCGT